TTTTCTTGCCCTAATTGATTTTTAGACATGGACACACTCATTAGTTACCAATACTTTCTCAATATATTTCAAAAATTTCCCCATTTGTTCTAAATTTTCGAGAGTTCAGGTAAACGCCTTTCTCTTGGGGCCTTCAGGATTTTGTGACCTGCTTTTAAAGATTGCTGTTTCACTCATACAGAATGCAGTGCATGCCTGACTTCATCTTTCTCAGCTACTGCTGTCACAGTGAGGCACCACTTCCTAGTAGATCCTAGTAGAGGGACTGCTGGCATGCTAGGGCATCATGCTCTCACCAGCAGTTGCTGCCATGGTGCCCACAGAACCCCAATACAGATGGTCCTGCCAGTTCAGACCATATCTTGTTTCAATTTGCATTTCTCTGGTGTTAGTTGTCTTTGCGCTTGTTCCTAGTATGTTTTTTATGAGTTTATATGAACTATTTATATATTAGTAATAATGATTTTCATTCTTTATCAGTTTTTGCTTTCCTCATTATATTTCCTGTTTTTTTCTTTTATTCCTTGAAATATGGACATTAAACATTTCTATAAGATCACACCTACATTTCTTGACTTTCAGTTTTATATTATAAAATATATTGAGAATGGCACAATGGAAAGGAAAAGGAAGAAATTGAGAGATAGATTGTTGGGTTATGAATTCCAAGTCTTATCATTTAGAGCTCTGTGATAAAAAATTAGCTGCTTAATTCTCTGAACTCTCAATTTCTTCCTTTATGAGATTAAAATTATTGCAAAATAACTTCTCTGTCTGTATAACTATATAGTCCAATGTTTTGATTGTAGGTAACATTCTGTTGACATTCATTGTTAAGGGAGCATGGATTTATTTTCATATGTAGTGTGAACATACTAAAAATTTTATATACAGCTTCCTAACCAGTTATTCCAATATTACTGAATAGTAAGTAGTCCTTCCATTCTTTATGAATTTTTATGTTTTGTGCATTTCTTCCTTTTAGCATACAACATTTAATATGTCAAAAACCCATTTCTGTATTCTTCATGCATTCATTAAGCAAATTCCAAACTGCTTTATTATCTCTCTGCCTTTAATATGTGAACCACTGATTCTTTATTATTCTAATTTTTCAAAAATTATTATAATTCTTGCCTGTTGACTTGTCAAACGAACTTTGGAGCTATTTCATCAAGAATTGTTTATTCAGGGACTAGAGAAATGGCTTATCAGTCAGAGTGTATATTTCTCTCGCAGAGAACCAGAGGTCGGTTTCTAGCATCCTTGTCAGGACAGCCTGTAACTCCAGCAATGCCTCTTGGCTCCAAGGGCGCGTGCACATACTCAGACACAAGCACAAGTACATGTAATAAGTCTTTTAAAAATTATAAAAGATTTAGTCAAAAGAATTTCACTGAGATGGTGATTAACCGGCATTGCAGAAAATGTATGTGCTAACTTTGGAAAAGGTCTGTTTATGGCATGGAGCTCACTCATATAAAAGCATAACTTATCTCTATTCATTTTCCTTTAGTTTTCCAATAAAGAATCTTATGTTTCTAACTAAATACCAGATTAATATTACTGATTGGGAAAAGGATTCTCTCTCCCTCTCTCCCTCTCTCTCCTTTCTCTGTTTACACATTCAAATTATGTATGTGTATTTCTCCTAATGCTTATTAATCCCAAGAATCTAACTATATCATTTAAAAATATTAATGGCCATTCTCTTAACATTTATGAAGAAATCATTTAGGCTGTGTGTCTTCTGATGAAAATAATTTCACAGACTTATTACAAAGCTTCATAACAGATATTTTTCATTACTTAGTAGGATAAACTGATAACATTTTATGACTAGATTCCTGGATGTTCATGTTAATTGCTAAGTTCACAGTTATTAATATAGAATTTTGTACATTAACTCATACAATTTACTTAGTTTTATATGCATTTTCCCCCCAAAGATAAATATTATAACCAATCTCCACTGCTGATGTCTAGCCCTAGTAGGAGAGAAATCTCAAAAAGAATAGCAAGTACTAAATCCTTGCAGAGTCACAATCGGGTTTTAAACCTCATTTAGTTTCCTTTTTGATTCTACTTTCTATACATCATGCACTTTTCCATATATCGGTATTTCCCAAACTTGGTTAATTGAGGTGTTCTGTTACCATTTCATTCTGTATTGTTAGTTACTTCAGTTTTCTTCAGTTGTTAAGGAACACATTTTCTGCAAATTAAGTTTGAAGATCTAATTGGCTTTTATTAGTGATTTCTGAGTCGGTCAGCATCCCAGCTGTGCAAAGCAGAATGCTCCAGCCAACTACGGTAAATCAGCCCCCCACAGGAGCAAACAGACAGCTTAGTACAAAGGCAGATGGTTAGCAGCATCAGATTCCTTGAGGTTACCTTCCCTGTGTGGGTTAAGGCAGAGGGAGTGTCTTGATTAAGCTAGTTCAGGTTAAGTGGACCCCTTCAGATTGGTTGTTGTGGATCTTTGGTTTTTTTTTTTTTTTCGATAAAATGGCCTTTTCTAAGTTCAGTTTTCTTATATGGCTCCTGGCACAAGTAATTCCATACCTCCTGGTTTGGTCTATTGTTTGGAGGCCTAGTGCAGGGACTCAGTCCACAAAATAGGCTTCATATAAGTTAACACTTTGAAGTTTGGTGTAATTTTTATCTTTTGTTGAGCTAAAATTTAAAGACAAATGAAATATATAGATTTAAGTGTACATTTTAGTGAAGTTTTCTTAAAGGCATGCATCTACCCACTGTATTAGTTACTTGCGTGTCACTGTGACCAAAACAGGTTGACCAAAACAACTTCAAAGAAAGATTTAGTTTTGGTTCATTGTTTTCAGAGAGATTTCAGTTTTTCATGGCAGGAAAGGCAGGGCAGAGCAAGCAGCTTCCTATAGACTTAGAGCCTTCTGAAGAACACCACAGGTTCAGGACTGTGTGCTAAAAACATGAGCTTGTGGGATAGTTCAGACTCAAACCATACTGGTTACTATCAACTGAACTAGTCTCTTTATCCCAGAAAGTGAATTTCTGTTTTTCAATTGAAGTTTTACAAATTTCATACAATATATTTTATTATATTCAGACTCCGTCCCCTGTCTGTACCCTTCTTATAGCTCCCCACCCCTCCAGATTTCTTGTACTCAGTCATAAATATTAAGGCCTTTTGAATCAGGTTTGTGTCCCCAAATGTCTTTCAATGTGTGTCCATCCATTGGAGCCTGGTTAACCTATCTAGTGTCACATTCCTAAAGAAAATGAACTGTCTCTCCCAGTAGTCATCAGTTAGCCGTAGTTCGTCAGCCAAGGTTGTGGTTTCTCACACACTTCCACACTTCTATGCTGGGATTTTGCCTGACTTGAACTTGTGTGGGTCTTGTGTGTGCTGTTACCATTGCTCTACGTTCATGAGTAACTTCTCAGCTTTCTGGAAGACGTTTTCCTTGTGGTTATCCACCACCTCTGTCTCTTCCAATCTTTCTGCCTCCCCTGTCCCATAATGGAACCTGAGCTTTGGGTGGCAGAGGTTTGGTATAGGTGTACTATTGAGGGATAAGTTCTCTGCAGTCACTTATTTTCTGCACTTTGTTCAGTTGTGGGTTTCTGTGTTAGTCATCATCTGTTGCATGTTACATTACAAGGTGTATAGCTTTTCACTTGAATTATATACTATAGGAATGCTACAGGATAATAATTAGCAGTAAAATATTAAAATATTAAAATAAAAATATCAATTCTTCCTAGATTTCAAAATCATTTATACACAGCTTATGAGGTCAAGCCTCAGAGTACCTGTGTCTGCTGTAGGTGATTAAAATACTACTTAAAGGTCGTAAAGTGTCTTCTTTGGGACTTTTGTATTGATTTCACCTTTGTATTTGACTTTCAGCCCATGGCTCCCACTTCAGCCAAGTTATGTCCTTTAGTTCTCATTAGGGTGCCAGGTGGGGGTGGGAGGCATTGAGAGGAGCTGGGCAGCAGGGAAAATGCACCTCACAGGTGAGCAAACAGTTGAAAATTCCTTTGTTTTTCTCCCCTAGGGACAGGATTGCATTTTATGAGCATAGGAGCTATACTGTCCTCTATGTTCACAGGACATGTAGCAGTGTGCTGAGAGTTTACAGTGGCCTGGGTATGTTTGTAGAGGGCTTGCTGCGTTTCATTCCCAGAGCTGTATAAACCAAACTTGGTGGTACATGCCTGTCGTCTCAGCCCTGAAAAGTGAGACAGAAGGATCAGGAGTTCAAGATCATCCTTGGGTACATAGTGAATTTGAGCCAGCCAGGGATACATGAGACCTTTTCTCAAAAATGTTTTTATCCTTTTTACTAATAAAGGTGTGTTCTTATTGAATGCCACCTTTGAAATAAGAATAACTTTGTTGTTCTTCTCTATATAATACTCATTTAAAGTCTTGAGATTACTTCACTTGTAATTTGAATATGTTAGTGAAGTTGACCCTCCCTCTTCGTCTATGGGTTTTGTATCCATGGATTCAATAATCTATGAATAGAAAATTTGTGTTGTTGTTTTGTATTGCATTGATTTGTTTTTTTTTTTTTGTTTTTGTTTTTGAGACAGTGTCTCACCATGTAACTATGGGTGGTCTGGAACTCTCTATAGACCAGGCTGGCATTCAACTCAGAGATCTGCCAGCTTCTGCCTCCCAAGCGCTGGAATCAAAGGTGTGTGCTACCCCACACCTGGCTTAGAAAACTAGTTTTTAAGTTGTCTGTGCCAAACATATCCAGACTTCTTCCCCTGCTAGTCCCTTAAAATACAGAATAACAATCATTTCCATTGTATTTGGTATTATCAATAATCTAGAGATGATTTAGCATGTGAGAGGATGTGTGTAGGCTTCACACTGAATACTGCAGCATCATTATATACCAAATGCATAGCTTCTATTTTGAATACTATGATTTTTATTTTTTAAAATATTTTATTTATTATCTTTATTTTATGTTTCTGCGTGTATTGCCTGCATGTAGTGCACCCGTGTTGTGCAATGTCTGCGGAGGACAGAAGAGGCTGTTGAATCCCCTGGAACTGGAGTTATGGACAGTTGTTAGCTGCCATGTGGGTGCTGGGATTCGAACCCAGGTCTTCTGCAAGAACAGCCAGTGTTCTTAACTGCTGAGCCATCTCTCCAGCCCCAACTACTGTGATTTTTTTTATATGAGGACATCAGCATTCATGGATTTTGGATACCTAGGAGGAGTCTTGGACCCAGTTCTCTGCAGATATGAAGGAACGGCTGTACTTAAAATATGTTTTCACAAAGTCCGGAAATTCAACTTTTCAACTGTGACATCACCTGTTTTCTATTCTGTATTTTAATCCTGAATCAGATAACAATAAAATGTGATTGCTCTTATTCTAACAAAAATCTCTTCTACTTGAGTCTCTGCTGTTGCAGGAAAATAGCTTCCAGGGGTTGTCCTTCATTGCTTGGCTGTGCTTTGCAGTATTCTTCAATTTATTTTTGTTGATTATATTTATTACAGGTGTAATCCTTTCTCTCCAGTCTGGAGACACGTGTTATGCCTCCAATATCAAGTTACACAAGAAAATCCATATTTTTTTCCTAAAATTGAGAATATTTTTCATTCACCATCCCCTTCTTCTTCCATTAAAACTGAAATCAATAGTGACTATTAGCATAGCATAAAATAGAAACTTGAATAATGAGTTTATATTTTATAGATTGTATGTATTTCCCTAGATATTAAATAATCTTTCTGTGCTTAATAGTAGCAACTACTGTTCAATGTCAGTGAAAATTAATAGAACTGACTTTTTATGGGACTCATGTCTATAATACAGTCAGGTTTATAAACATTTGAATTCTTCCAACTTTTTATGTGAAACAACATTAAACTATTTTCTTTCTTTAAAAACCTACAAATTGTTACCTTTTAAAATTCATTGTAATGACTTTGAGGCACTATTTGTCTTTTTGTTTACACATTTAATGTCTTTGATTTGTTTCAAAGCTAACCTATCATGAAATGCTCCTATGAGGTACTCATCAGAAATCCAGGCACCAGGATTCACTGGGGAACACATTCACCCAGACCAAAGGGATTATATCCTGCAAGTTCTCCCATGAACCTATGTGCAAGGGTGTCCTCTGTCTCTGCTTTTGAATTTATCAGAGCTGGTGTAGTATTTGATTGTCACAAAATCATTGAAAGTGTGTCTTTTTATTTTGTTTTTGTGGAGACTCTGTCTATTCCTGTCCAGGGAAAAATTCTTCTGTATCCTGCTGAGGTTAAAGGCTTAGAACATTTGACAATGAAGAATCACCTATTATTTTTACTGCTCAATTTGGTTGGAGGAAAATGACAAAACAATAAAATTTCTGAACATTGGTTTCTTTGTTCATAAAAAGTATAATATGAACATTATAACCATCAAATATTTTTCTGTGCATTAGCTTTTAAGAATTCAATAGAAATATGTAGATTCTAGGAGGTCTGCCCAGAAGCAGAATCCTATCCCAACATACCCCTTCCTGAAATAACAAATGACTTTAGAAAA